CGTGTAGTCAAACAACGTCTGAAGCCACATAGCATCGGCTCTTCGTCGATTGTCAAAACCTGGGTTGGACGATCCACGCTAAACAAAATCATAATGGTGTCTAACGACAATATCTTTTGCTGAGGCAGAGCAAGCGAACGTTTTAGACCAGGTCTGCATTTTTCTCTTCTTTCTGTTTTGGGGGCATCCAACTTCCATAACGTCACTGATTGCAGATTGGGTCAAAGCCGGGAATTATCATGCTTTTTAGTGTATTTGGCGCTAGTTTCTTTCCCGCTCATCCTCATCAAGCCTACTTCGCGGAACTCCCTACTATGGTAGAGCCCTTATGACTAACACGCGAAAGACTCGTCACCAGATTATACTCCAGGGTCTGGTCCGGGACTCAGGGCCCAATTCCCAAGCAACGACAGGGAGGGATCCGCGATTTACATTGGTTGGAACCGTAAGTCAATGAGTGGCTCCTGTGTCAGCCAGGGGACCACAGTGCCTAACAGGTGTCCGCTATCGACAAGGAGCTCAGCGTCGGCCTGGGGCAGTGTTCGAGGGGTCCGCAGAGCAGCCGAAGAGTCCCTCGGGACTGATGATCCAGTGCCTGATTGGAGGGCACGAAGTCAGGGCCGGGCCATCAAGCGTCAGTCAGAGGGCCTCTTGCGCCGGTTGGGAACACCGTGGGACAATGCGGGTCTCTTTTTCGGTCATGAAACACCAGCGCCGAACAGTCGGCGCCGTGCCAGTGACGATATATCCGCCATGGGCTCACATCACCTAACCTAGGGTATTGTGCTGGCAAGTGACCCCGAGGCGACCAAGGGCAGTGTTCGATGAGGCCCGAAGAGGAGCCCGGGCGGCCCACCGGAACCGACTATTAAAGGCCCGGTTAGAGAGTAAAATGGCCCGAAGAATTGGTTGTAGGTCACGTAGAGAATGGTGCCCCGTAGGGTTGTGACTTGAAATATCAGTTCCAGGTTCTCTTGTACCGTTTGAGGACCCCTGAGACAATACGGGTGTCTAGCTCGGCCAGGGACCACTAACACTGAACAGTTGGCTCCCTGTCAGTACGAACTCTGGGGGCCCATTTTCCAAGCAGGAGCAAGACCCGGGCCACGATTTGCATTGGTTTGGGTCTTTGAAACATGTTTGTGGCCACGTTATCGGTCTTCACAATGCATAAAAGGGTTCATATCCCGGCTGGTGGCCGCTAGTCGGCCACGAACTTTGTTTGAGAAGGCTAGGAGGGGCCGAGGGCTACACGGGACCAAAGATCAAGAGCCAATTGTACTCGGACCCTGCCCCCTCCCCGCCCCCAACCGTAGCGTCATGACCTTAAATGTCAGTCGGAGAATTTCTTTTGCCTCCCTCTTATTGCAGTTCTCTATCCGTACGCCTAAGCTATTGAGACCCATTTCTCAAGAAGGAACAAGTCCGGGCCCGCGATTTGTAAAGTTCGGGATCCCTGACATAATGAAGCGCCCTGTGTCGGTCGGGAGCTACAGTGCCTAACAGGGGCTGCGTGGCGGTAAGTGACCCGAGTCAGCCAGGAGCGGTGTTTGAGGGGCCCCAAATAGAGGCCGAAGGGCTTTTGAGACCAAAAATCAAGGGCCCGATTGGGAGGGTAAACGGCCCAAAGGGGCGTCAACCCTCCACGGTAAATAAGCGCGCAGCCGCCTCGAAGCCCACGTCCTACTGGCGGATCGTGAAGCAGCTGAAGCCGGAACACGACGAGCTCGAGATGCCTACGATGACTCCAGAATATGACTATCATGCGATGACTCGAGCCGCGTCACGTATGCCATCGGGCTGGGCGCGCAGCGCGTCGGCTTCACCGGCTCGGGGAGCGTGGTGCGCGCCATCGCCAGGTTCCACCGTGGCCCAAACTGAACATACCGGGCGCGTCTATTTTGTATGTCACATTCAGGACCCCGCCCGCGGAGCCGTGATTCTGAATGTCAGTTAAAGAGTCTTCTGCACCGATTAGGGACCCATGAGAGAGAACATTCCTCTGTTTCGGCCAGAGACCATCCACACCGAACAGCTGGCTCCGCGGCCGTCTGAGCTCTGAGGCCCATTGCGCAAGCAAGAACACGGCTGGGCCCGCTGTTTGCATTGTTCGGGGGACCTGCAACAATGCTGGGCCCCTGTATTGTTCAGGGGTCCACAGCGCCGAACAAGGTATTCTGCGTCAACAGGGGGCCCGAGTCGGTCAGAGAAAGATGTGCTCAACAGGGACACGGACGAGACCCCGGATAACAGAGACCTCTTGCGGTGGTTGGGACTCTCTGACACTGAAAAACGCAGCGACACATCGAATAAAAAAGTACGCCATTCCTGAGCACAGTTTTTTGTAAAGACTAGTAGCAGTGGTACAATAACTTAGCCGAAATACACGCTTGAATAAGTTTGCAATGTGCGTCCTTATAGGAGATTTACATCACGATCTGCGTGCATCGCAAAAAAACTGCTATGTTTCCAACTTGCAAGATTCGTCTTTGCAATGATGATATCGCACGAAGACTAGTGCAGGTTATAAAAGTAACTGATCTGTGTCCCGACTTGCTCAAGCGCCTAACGTGTTAAAATCAACTCCACGTTTACTCACCTATGCACACAACAGCAGTTGACATGCACCCAATACAACTTCCCTGCGCAATCGTCCTAATGGCCTTAGTTCCCCTCTGTGACCTTCAGAGGATCACGATGCGGGACCCGAACGGTGACCTTGGCACGCGGGCTCATCCCCATCCAGGCCGTGGCAATCCCATCCTATCTGGTAAGTCCTCTTGAAACTGGCAGTAACACCGTAGCGTGTTCGCACCAAATTCGCGTCATGACCAGTGAAGCAGATAAGGGCAAGAGGGGCATGCAGGGAGGGTGGAGAGGCGAAGAGAGCGATAGAAACAGAGAGCAGACTGCAGTGCCTCTGCTATTCGAGTGCGTATGCCGCGCCCGTGGAGTGAGTGCTTGCCCCCCGAACGCGACGCCCCACAGGTTGTGTTGCACAAGCCCTTCCTCGCAAGCTCCGGCCATGAGCTTTGCTCGTTGTCATTGGTGGCTGTCGTCAGGTCCGGTTGTGCACGCGCTATTTCTTGACGCAATTGCACGCGCATTTCAGTGCTCGCCATCCGGGGCCCTGTGTCCCGGATGACGAGCGTTAGCATGCCCCGGGAAGATGCCTGACATTGGATTCGCACGGCGGTTAGCACCGCACTGGTTAGCTACGGCTCGGGTGCGGGCTAGGGTTTCAACTTCGAACCTGCCCGCGGGGCTGACGGCGTGTTAGCTTGCTTCGCTCTGGTCTGCCGCTCTGCTCTGCGTGGGCAGCTCTTGGTCGTCCTCTGGCGGCCCTTTGGCCCCGGCGTGGCGCGAACACGAGCAGTGGGAGACGCCGCCCCGCCGGACTTTCCACTAGGCTTTCTCCCTGCCCCGGATATGCTTTTAGCACTTAGCGTGATTGGTTTTTGGATTAGCGCCCTTTCGACCAGACATGATCATTTCAGGGCTATGGGATGAAGGAAAGTGGCTAGCGATGGGACGGATGTGCATGAACCTCGGGGAGCCAACCGCCGAGCTTTAACCCGCGCATGCGCGGGTGCCCGGCCGGGGCCCCCGTTCCCACGGGGCTCTCGGCCCACCCGTGGCTGACGCATGCAGCCTGCCCCGGACAGGCGGGTTGTCGCGAGGATGCAGGATGAAGCGAAACAGAGGATAAGAGGGACGGATGCGACTTAAGCGTGAGCTGAAGTCTCGCCACGCCACCTGCTGCGATCCCGCCCAAACGTCTCGCCCTTTAATAACCTCGTCAACCGGCCCCTAAGCTGCTCTTCCAGCGCCAACTGCACGCACGCACGCGACCTGCTGCCCCATCGCTGACGGTCCACCTTGCATATCGCATCTCAGTCACCATGCAGAGTGGGATTTGCAAGGGGGGAATATTTGTAAGGGCAATCGGAACGATACTAACGAAAAAATACATAAACAAGCAGAAGCAGACAAAATGTAAGTTCCAGCTCAGAACTACACTGAAAAATAGCATACACTATAGTCTGTATTCGTTCGTTTACAAGACAGCACAGCATGGTCCATTTAAATCATTTTATTGGTGAATTACTCAGAGGTTTCACCCACGTCTGTGGACGCAAGATACATTCCCGAAAACCTCAAGGTTGTAAACCAAGGCAATGTCTTCATCGCAGCATACAGGGTATCGTGTCTCTACCCCAATGGGCGCGAGTTGAAGTCTGTGTGTCCGAAGGTGTTCAGATCGCTTGTGCTGACACCTTCCCCTTCGACCTGTAAAAGTACAGCAGCGTGAGTTTCATCATAGGATTCGAGAAGGACGATGCAGACCAGCACTAGCACACATTATTGCGCTTGCATTCGTTTAGCATAGGGTGATCTGATTCACTGGCACTTTTGAGCTGTATAGATGTTCCTATGGCACAATATGCTATAGCATGGTACAAAACAAGAGGCAACCGGGCGGTGAGCAATGCCTGTCTATAAGCTCCTATGCTGCAAAGACAGTAACCCAATATTATCGATTTCTTTGCAACACCGTTTTCAGGCTTAATCATCACCACGGACCTTGCGCTCATCCGCTCTATATTCCCCATCCTCGCTCACGTCTTTCCCTGTTCCACTATTAGTTATCAATCATTCGCTCTATCCTCCCCATCCTCGCTCACGTCTTTCCCGTCACTATCGTTATCTCTTCGCTCGTCTTCCTGTTCACTCATCCGCTCTCTCTCTCTCTCTCTCATCTCTCTCTCTCTCTCTCTCTCTCTCATCTCTCCTCTCCTCTCTCTCTCTCTCTCTCTCTCTCTCTCTCTCTCTCTCTCTCTCTCTCTCTCTCTCTCTCTCCTCTCTCGCTCTGTCTCCCGGTCCCTCACCCCCTGATAAACCGCAGCGCAATTGAAGAAGCCGTCGGCAATGTGCTTACCACACCAAGCCCGAGGAGAAGCCGATTGCAGTTCCGCTTGTTACGAACCAGGTCGCGGCTTTGTGGAAGGTTACAGCATTGGCATTCAGTGTTCAAAATGTTCGTAAAAGGGTTTTGGAAAGATCCGACAGTTCCGCCAGCAGTTCCTCCGATCTGAAAGGGCGTGCGTTTCTTAGTTTTTCTCATTCCGTTGTTTCAGCGTTTCTTGCAAACAGACTACCTCATGTCAATGCCGTTTGCACTGGATTGTCCAAGCCATGAGCAGCGCTCTTGTCAGCCAATGATTATTCAAGATCTGACTGACTGTTTTGAGAGGATAACACGGGATCAGAGTCATTGGTCGCAACAATCTGACCTGTGTTTGTACTTCCAATGAAGAATATAGAAGGACGTGCATTGTAAAACAGTACTGAGGTAACACAAGCTCATTTAGTAAACGAGGAAGCAGGTACCCAAAAGGAAACACTGTGTGCTGCACGTCCAGTGGATGCACGTCCCAGTGGCTGCACGTCTCGTGGATTGCACGTCCAGTTGCTGCAGCAGTCCAGTGGCTGCACAGTCCAGTGGCTGCGCGTCCCCCACCCCGGCCAATTTCCATTCAGAAGGGAAGCCGTTTAGGTTGGCATTTTGCCAAATAATGTCGGAGGAATTCAACGTGCAATGCAAGTTCGCGCATAGACCGTGATTGAGATCCTAGGGGTTCGGGTCTTGCAAGCTGTTTTACGCCTTATTGTCCGAACCACGGCCGATGCCTAAAGCCCAATCAGACCTCATGTGAAAATACACTGGCCCGTAAATGTGACCAACCGAACAAAGCCATCGGCAAACTTCGCAGTCGCAGACTAGCCTAGCGTGCAGCAAACATTTTCCACAAGGGGTGGGGAACACTGTGATGACGCATCACGGCGACTTTCAGGTTTCTGCCGGGAGCCATCTATGGTGATATTATATATCTAAGAAATATACCTAATATCTAAAAATAAGTAAATATCAAATATATAAAAAATAAAGAAATATCTGATATCTAAAAAAACAAATAAATATACAATATCTAAAAATATATCCATATATCTAAGAAATATGTGAATCTAAGGAAGCGGGCCGAGTCCCGAGTGCGCGACTCCCTCCCCCCCCCCCCCCACTGGCTGCTTACCGCAAGCCTGTCCGATAATGTTAACAATTGTCGCTAGGGGAAATGACTGGTCATTATGGAGGAATCTCGAGGATTGGACAAAGCAAGGGGGTCAAAATGACCGAACAGACCCACTCTTGGGTCATGTGCTCCTTCGTTACGTCGGAAATAAGGCACGATGACGAAAACCGATCAGTACACTGTTCGGTATAGTTTTTTATACCAACAGCATCGTATCAAGCTATTGGAAGTACTCAATGTTGAATACTCAAACTGGAAGCACGTCTGTCGAGCTGTCCTGGGTTTGATCGCTGCTCAGCATGACCTGACGTGACCGAGCTGTGGATCACGTGACGTGCAAGGGGCAGGACGGTTTACCTCAGGTCCGTCGGCACGCACGGTCATCAGAGCGGCCAGGAAGATCAGTGCGACACCGGTCTTCATGATGATGGCCTGGCGGGCACGTGCGAGAGGCTACGTCAGGGCTCCACTCCTCACTGAAACAAGAGAGGCGCCCATCAGTCCAACCGCCAGGTCAGGCGACGTGGGAACCATCCCCCAGTCAGCATGTCTGAAGAGACCGCAAAAACGAGAATATCGAGAACCACCTTCGTCGTCGGTGATTAGGGTCTGCAGAATTTGTCCAAATGACCTCACTGTGGTTTCATTTGTCACTACACATTTGCTGTGACCCAACCCACTTCTCATGGCTTCCAGGCAGCTATGAGGTTCACCTGTTCACCATAACACTGTACGAAGGAAAGGGGCACTGGAGGGAGCGAACGCTCAGTCCTCGGCATCTGTCGACAAGGTCAAAACAGGTCTGTTTCCCAAAGGTGCAAACACATCTTCGTGGACAGCTCTGCCCTAGTTTCGACCATCGCCTTCTTCCGCACCTCCAGCCGCCGTCCACCGTTCGCCGCGCCCCTGCCCGCGCCACCGCCGCCGGCACGCGCTACTCACCCGGTCGCTCCTGCTGCCGCGCGCGCCTGCTGGCTTATGAGCGGCCGCAGCTCAGCCCGCCGCCGCCGTCCCGGTTGTACCGTCTGGATTTTCCGCTGGCCGCTGGGGGATTTCCATCCCGAGAGCGCCGGCCGGTTTCTCGGCGGCGGACGGAGGGGCGGTTTGGCGAGCGCCGCCTCGGTGCTGGAAGATACTCGGACCGAGGATTCTTAGAAGCCGACGCTGGCGTGACGGGCGGGTTTCCGCGTTTTAAACGCCGTAAGGGAGGGGGGGGGGGCGAAGCAAGGGGAATTCCGTCGCTCCGATTGTGCGAGGTGCCACGCGGATAGTTGCGCCGCGATGTGCGGCACATCGGGCGTGATTTAGAGCCGGTTGCAAAACCGACGCGCGGTGTTGAAATCTATTCCTGAAGCGCCGATAAGCCGACAGCCAACACAGCGGGTGGCGAGAAGTGCGAGCTGTCCAGGTCACGTGGTGTTTGTTGTTCTCTCTAGGACACATGTGGAGGTGACGTCAAAATGCTTCGGGCAGTTGCCTAAGCTGGTCTTAAGGCGCTCGGCAGATGACGTAAATCCATGCAACGCTTCCAGCTACAACTGCTAGCAGTGCAATGTACAGTCCGCTGACTGCGAGATGGGTTGTCTGTTATCCACCAGCGGTTTAGTTTTCATGCATTTACGAATGCACGCTTCGCTTACAAACCGGCACGTTTAGTTTGCAGTATTGGACTATGTTTTCATTCATGGTTCCCATCCCGGATTACAGCAACGTTTACAGGGCCATTGTGCAGGACAGTCTGAATTTATGAACCCTCATTTCAGAACTGCAATCCGACGTTGCTCGCCATTTATCACCATGTGCAGCTTATGTAAAAGAAAACAGGACATTTGTAAGTGACTGGCACGCATCACATATTTCGGTTTAAACATGAGTTTCCAGAGACTCCGCAAGCATCACCGCTCGTCCAGATTTTGTCTATATGTATAGCAAAATGCAAGATGTTTTAGATCAGGTAAGCAATCCAGTCAGTCCTGGGACCAAGATTTCACAACACCCGACAATTTCAGTTATTTTGCTGAACTCATCTTCGTAATCAATCCGCGTATTACCGGTAGTGTAGTGGTTAAGCCGCGGATCTGAGAAACCAAATGCGCGGAGTTTGATTCCCCGCGGTGCCCGCCCTTCATGTCAGGGTGAGAAGCAAGCGTCGCTGTATAGCCTCAGTAGCCGTCGTGCGCGCGTGAAGTCCCAGTGACCACGCAGTCATGTCGCACGGACGCCCATGATGGCGAGATCCCCAGCTGACTCTTCCGCTGATGCGCCATGGATGGAGCCGTATAGGACCTGACGTTATATCACGCTCTAAAATGCATTCTAATGTTACGGTTGAAAAGCAAAATCGGGCCCAGCAAGGCAGAGATCCAACCAGGCCCCCTTAAGTCAAAACATCAATACAATTTACTCCTAAGAGGTAATAAGAGGCATTTGAGTAGATGACGTCGCCCGTCATGATCCTGGGAGAAGGCTTCGTGGCATGACCTGACCTTGGGAGAGGGTTTCGTGGCATGCCCTGACCCTGAGAGGAAGCTCGTGGTATGACCTTCAACTTCCAAGACACTTACAATCTTGATGTGCGGCAGTTTCAAGGTATGAGCCGACTAAAACCTTCAAAAACCAGTAGATGGGTGGGTAGATAACCTGCACCAAGCCAAGTGTGAGTAGAATCAGCTGAGCATGGGCAGCGGTGGGGCCTGCCCCAGACAGTCTGGACGATGTGCTGGTGAAGTAAACAAAATGCTGTCCATGATGGCCTTGTTTGCTCGAAATACGCAACTGACCGTTTTAGTAACAACGTGATAGGTGCTCTGTTATAGATTGTGTTTGGAGCCTTTTGTTTAGGTGGTATTGAGGACAGGGCACTCTTCTCAAGTACCTCAAACATAAGCGCCCTCTAAGCTAGAAAATTTTGCGTAATGACGGGTGCTTGAACCGGGTTTTGCCGTCCCGGGTTATTAGATAATTTTGTGACCGGTCTATTTCACCAGGCAGAAATGTATTAAGACCTTCTGTCATCACCGTTTCGCTACAACTCGCCGCCTCCTCCTCCTCCCATGCAAATCGGGCCAAACAAAGCGCATGCTCTGGGACTGGCACCCGGCGCGGTTGTGTTGCAGTTGGTTTGCTACCAATTTAGGAAAACATTCTGGAACGTCCTCATCATCTCGCAGAACATCATCGCCGAAAACCGACGTAAACAGACGGGGCATGGCATCAATAGATTTGAGCTGGATTTCCCCATCCTGTTGAGAGTGGCGTTTCCATTGTTGATAACTCCGAGTTACAGCAGGAGCTTGCTGGTAAATCCGAGTTACAGCAGGGGCTTCAGAAAGCTCTTGCATCTTGGAAGTGACACCAGTCGCGGTGCATAAGATATTTTCACAATGATATATTTTGATTTATTTCAAAAAGACATTTTGCTGTTTTCCTAGCTTTCCACAGCAGGTTTCACAGACAAGTAGCCACACCATTAAACATTCGACCTGTCTTGACCTTTATTCATGGTGTACCGCTAAAACGGCGAGGAATCGCGGTGCATACGATGAAGAGCCCCAAGAGGCACTGAAAACTGTTTTACATGCTAGCGTGCTTCCCTTCACTGGTCGTTCTTGGCTCGGCAGCAAGGAACCACTCTTGGTGAATGTCGCGTGCGACGCACATGCTTCGAATTCTGTTCAGACGATTTATCTTCATTGCTGCTATCGTCCTATGCCTCGATGTAGTCCAAAACTGACCGAGAGGATGCTGCCTGCCGTGAGGAATCCCAAATGTTCGTAAGAAAATCTGAAACTAAGCTGGATTGAGAATTTTGTTTAGGTGGCTGAAAGTGAGAGTTTCAATAGCCTCTGAAACAGGGATTTGGAGGAAAGCCCAGATTTCATTCAAAATAGGATGGCAAAAATTTTGTTGCGCTGGTCGGAGAGACGTCTCCCTGACCTTCGAAATCCGGGTTTAAAGGAAATCCAGATGTTACGGTGCCAGAGCCCTCTACCATGCCGATATTTTTCAAACAGCTACGGCAAACTACTGTCCCCATCGTTATGTTTTTAATGCATTATGCCATGTTTGCCGCACGCCAGAATAGCACAGATTGTGTCTTGCATTTGAGCCAGAGGCTTGAGTCCATCATGAGCGCGTTTACGGCTACGGACGGCGCAGCACAATGACTCAGCCGCGCCGGGCCCGGCTACCAGACGGTGGAAGTAACCAAAGCTCTGGTAATTACCGTAGTTCACTCTTGGAGCGCATCTAAGCTTGGCGCTACTCACTTCCCGGAGCGCTTTCTGCACAAAACGCTCGGAGCGTGTTTCACAGGTAGCATCACAGCCAGAGCACATATTGCAAAGAGCACGAATCAGCGAGAGCAAGTCTTAGCCGCGGTTCGTACGTGACAGAAACGCACCTTGGCTCCTGCACATGTAGTAGGAACATGACCCAACAGGAGCACATAGGAAACGAGTCGCTACAGGGACGTGTGGAATGGATGCACGTTTTTGCTGGAGCGCGTCCCTCAGCAACACCCCATCCCAGAGTATCGTCTGGACAACGTCTTCCCGCACCCTCAGGACCAATGCTCTCCGGAGAACGGCCATCTGTACCACGTCTCTGGATGGGGTCCCTCTATGCCACATTTCTAGACAACGTACCTCCGTACCACGTCTCCGGGCAAGGCTCCTTTGCACCACGTCTCCAGACAGCGTCCCTCCGTACCACGTCTCGTCTAGACCGCGTCGCCTTATGCTAAACCTCCCTGGACTACCCTTCCCCGGAAAATATCTGGTGCAGATCACATCCCCGTACCACATCCCCCCAAATCACATCTTCACGGACTACATATCCACTGACTACATCCCCGGACCACATCTGTCAGGATTATACAGCCTCAGACCACATCTACCCAGGCCACGTTTCCCCAACCCACACTTCCACGGATCACATGTCACCGGGCCACATATTCTCGGACTACATCTCCCCACACCACATCTTCCCGGACTGAGCTTCCTCGAATAGCATCCACCCGGACGACGTCTCCCCGGACCGCGTCTTCGCAGACCGCATCTTTGCCGGTCCACAACGCTCAGTCGACTGGCGATTCGGGGCGCGCCGCGCGCCGCCGCCGCGCTGCCGCCTCCTGCACGCCGCGCATGTATTCGAGCGTTTTCCTGTCGCCCACGAGGTGCGCGTCGCGCTCGAAGTCGAAGCTCTCAGAGCTGTAGAGGTCGTCGCTGGAGACAGGCGTGCTGGTCCAGCTGCTGGTGCTGCTGGTCGTCCAGCTCTTAGGGCTCTCCGACCACGAGCTCTCCGATTCCCAGGCGCTGGGCGCCGTGCGTAGGCACATGCAGTAGACGAACAGGGCCAGCAGCAGCAGCAGGCCCAGTACCGAGCCCGTGGATGCGACGCGTAAACGGTTCGTGCTCAGCATTGCGGCGCCCTGTCGAGGTCACGAAATATTACCGCTCAATATGGCGGCATCCTGTCGAGGTTGCAAAGTATTATCGCTCAACATGACGGCGCCTCGTCGAAGTCGTGAAATATTATCGCTTGGGCCTGTATAAGCCGGTCACCAAAATGACACAAAATAGTCAAAAGGCACCGTTTAACCAAATTTGACGAATCAACACTAAAATGAACGTTTCATAGTCGATAAGTTATTACCACCAATATGGTCGTGTTCACCACCAGTTTAGCGAATTCGTTAGCCGCAACTCCTACTTAAGTCGCCACGACGGAAAATGTTCAGAAACAATATTACCCACCAGACTGGTTGAGGCTCCACCAAAAAGGTGAGACAAATCACCAAGATATGAAAAGAAATTAATGATTTGTACCAGAATCTAGAAAATTTAACCCACCAGCAAAAACCGCCATGCTTTAAGCCAAAATGACATCAACTTGCGAATGTTTTCGGACGCAGACGCTATTATTCACGTTAGAGTTCTGTCCTGAGAGTGAGTCGCTGATTAGCATTGAGTATTGCACATGCCTATACATCCAGAGGTGAAACCAACTAGTGGGGGGCGGGGGGGGGGCACAGGGGACATATATGCTTCCTCTGGGCCCTAAGTGGCCCTCGGGACCCTCGGCACAGACTCTCAAAGGCCCGATTGGGGGGGGGGGGGGGCGAAGTGTTTGATTATTTTGGATGAGCCCTGCGAGCGAGTACGTAACGAATGAAACCGCCATAACGCCATGGGTGAGTGCGTGGAATTGCCAGGAGCTGGAACATATTCAGCTGCGGAGGTTGACAAGCTGTGCTCTTGGTTACGATTTCATTCATTTTGACGAACTGTCATGCCCTTCCACCTGTAATCGGACGTTCTAGCCCTCATGCCCAGTCGGTTACTACAACCCACATTTTGACTGGCACCAATGATGATGAATCAGCCTTTCTGGCGATGAACTGGCCGATTCAGGTATCTGATTCAGCTAGTGATCAAGGTGCTTATTTTGATGATGAAAGTGACCATTCTGGTTGCCCAATTAATTTTGTCCCTTGTCGCTCAACGTGGCGGCGTTCTGTGAAGGTCACGAAGGGTTACGCTCGACATAGTGGCGCCCCGTCGAGGCCAAGACTGGTTGGAGCGGCGGCAGGGAGCAACGCCCACCAACAGCAGAACTTGGTGGGATTTTGACGTGTGGAGCACACTTCTCAACCACCAGCCTGTCACGTCTGACCCGCCAGAGGCCGTGGGCGTTTGGCCGGAATGTGAGCCAGACGTCGCGGGCATTGTCATACTTTCTATAAGCATGATGATTGTTTTGCTTATTATCATCGCCATCATTTGCCTACCATATCATCATCGTACTTAGCATTACAGCTTCGTTTAACCAGTTCAGTGGTGCAGCGGAGGTCGCGATTCAGGATATGAGACTTCATTTCACAATGCCGAAAAACTAGGAGCTTCTTGAAAACCCAAAATTTGTATTGTATCAAACACAAACCAACTTACAAAATTTGCATTTTGATATTTGTATCAAGAGCTACGGTGGCAGACAATGCATGGCAGACACGATACACCAGTGAACCAGGCTGCCAAAAATTGATCAACTTGAGAGCGAACATCTCACCGAAATACTCATGAATAACAGCACAAACCCTCAAAGCCTGGCCTAATTTCGTCGAATGGTTGGCTGACTTACGTGTATAACCACAACTGCATACTCGCTTGGTTGCTTTTGTATGAGAGTGAGGTGCTTCTAAACTGGCTTTCTGTATGCAGAGAAACAAACTTCAGGATTAATAGCAACGATCGACGCAATGGGAGGGAAACCAGGTGGTTCAGGCTGGCCTAGCCTAGCTCATTTTTCAATACAGCCAGCAGTTCAGGTGCATCAAATGCGCGACAGGTGGTTTATGTTGCACTAGCCAGCTCACTCTCCAATACAGCCAGCAGTTCAAGCGCATAAGACGCGTGACATTTCGAAGCAGGCCGTGGAGGTAACGAAGAGTCTATCTGTTTACATCTGAAGAATATAAATTTACTACCGGGATCACAAGGCTTTTATGTCTGATATGTTACACGTCTGATATGTTACACCATTATCGCAATTAGCATTGGTTTTTAACATGTATGTCTCATTAAGACTGTTGCTCTGTTTGCTTTTCCACCTTTTCAATATATGTGTCTGGACGCAGGTCTACGTCCAAAATTTCAGCTCAACTTATGACGTCAATAAAACATTCAATATATATTGAAATTGGCAGCTAGCAGGCTTTGTGAAATGTCAGCAGATGTCCGAGGCATGATTAATTCATTTTTTCTGTTCATGCAATTTTTCTTTAGTATCTAACAATGCGTCACGTTTCTTGAGGCAGTGCTAGATTCGAATGATGATGAATAATCGCTTCAGTGGCAAGGATTCATGGACAATATGCTTTTACCATCCTCGTTTGTGCGCATCATCACAAACGGCGCGGAGATAGTTACACAGAAGAAGTGATAACGCGGGTAACCGGCTTCTGATAAGAGAGAAATCCACACAATCACAAAGCTGGCATATGCTATTTACTCCGTTCTGTTGAATGATGTTATCGACTTAAGGACAGCAAACGCCATGCAATAGCATGCGTTTGGCTCTTGCATACAGCTGATGACATTGTGGCGATAGCGACGATGCGAATGGTGATGGTGTTCATGTACAGTATGAGGAATTGAGGAAACTTCCCATGATTTGAAGAGGAAACTTCCCGTGATTTGAAGAGGAACTTCCCGTGATTTGAAGAGGTGGCTTCCCACGTACGTTTTGCGACATTTGGCAAAATCTCTGAAGGCTGATCTCCAGAGCTTTTTGACCTTCCGAGGTCGGTGATAACGTATACTTGGTTTCCCTACGCCCGTTCCATTCAATGCTTGCAGTGTTCCCATGTGTCCACGCAGCCTTGCCGCTTTGAAAAGAAGACTGCACCCAGTAATGTTCTGCACGCTGTGCTCCTTTCAGAACTATGTGCAATTGTGAGGCAGACTTATTTCTTGCGAGACACGCAAGTAACTTCAGTAAGTTCAAGATGTACGCTAAAGTTGAGTTTAGAAACATGACAATAGTGAGGAACTTAACTATTTCCTTCGTTGCAAGGAGTCGGCGCAGACGTTCCTCCCTTACTACAACCATCTGGCACAGGCAAAGTTACAGTACCTTCTGCAGAGCACCCCGCCGAATCACCCCCGGTATGTTTCCAGCTCCAAACACAAGTATATTTGAGCTCTCGTAGTTCATCCAGCCCTGAGCTGCCGTTGCTCCCACTGGCTGTTACAAGCTAACCCCTTGCACTCTGTTCCATGCATTCCTTTCGACTCTCACGGTAATTCATGACTCAGACGCGTCAGGCCCGTTCTTCACCCAGCGTCCGGTGTAATTCGGGCTGAGGGGCAGTGACCTACAGTAAAACGCTCGCGGCCTGATCCAGGGAGGCCCCCATCCTTGGAAATCGCCCAGGTAGCGCGCCCTTGCCCTTAATCAGGCTCGCCTTCCCAAACGCTGATCTCTATGGAATTCATGACCGGAATCTTCATGCCCGTTTCACCGAGCATGAAGCATTTTGCCAAACGTCTTTACGAGATCCTGTGACGATTATGCTCAGTCGCATCGTCCACATCGTCTCACGAGCATCGTTCCTGCTTGATGAGAGCCCCTCCGACTGGCTGCCACTCCTTGAACGAGGTCAGCCTTTCTCCGTGATCACTTCTTATCTGTCGGTCCAAAGTCCCGTCTCCTCTATTCGAAAAGTTGTCAGTGTCGGCAAGCATCATGGGAATGGAAGCTCCGCACAATATTCGACTTATCCCGGAAAGTATAACGTCGAGGGAATGTTCATTTGTCATTTAAATAATATCCATTCACATGTGTATAATTCCCCTCTTTCAAAAGCGTCAATGGACGATTCACACCAGCATTGGAGCTCACCGTACTTGTGCTATTACCTTATCAAGTGCTGCCAATTTTCAACCGCATTTAGAATCTGTGATTATTCGCCTCGCTTCTCGTTTCAGACCCAAGTCATCGGGTGTGTGTTAGGAGCACGTTTAAGACGCCGTGTACAGCAGAATCCAGTTAATGATGGTCAGTGAAACGCCAGAGATTTTATCATGTAGGTACCTTTGGCCACTTGGATTCGACGCAGCGAGTGGCCCATATCATCTCTCAGGATCTGCTTTCTTCCATGCCGAGGTCATCACGTCACCAGACCTACATCGCAATGACGCTTAATGAGGCTTAGCCCTCTCTGGCGTCTCCTAAACGCCTAAAACACCGAGGCCGCAAAGGCCAGACTATTTTGTGGTGGTTGCCTCCGCATCCATCCGGCCTGGCTTGTGTGGCGTGTACCGATGCGTGTTTCTGAACACCGGACGCTGGGGCGCAGTGTGGAAGTGAGGCACAGGTTGGCTGTCCCCGCACCCATCCGGCCTGGCTTGTGTGGCGTGCACCGTCGGCCTGCTTTTGAACACGGAAAGCTGAGGTTGCAGTGTTAGGCCCATTCAGTGGTTAGCTGCCTCGCTATGCCTTTAATTTTGGAAGGATAACGTGCTTGACGCTTTGATGAACCCCATTAGCTTTAACACGAGGTGAGGTCTATAGAATATATACGACCGAATAAGGGTATTGATTCCTGTCGTTCAAAACATATGTGTACGCCGGCAGATAGCTGTGTCTGGTTAGCCATTATTTCCCGTGTTTTTCTAACCACGGAATGTCAATGATTGCTTAAGAGTAAAAGACTTTATTTATTTTTGGACCACAGATTTCGTTTTAACATCGTCTCTGCATTCCACATCCCTTATGTAATTGTCATTTGACAGCAATCGCATCATCAGCTGAGTTATGACATGCGTGTGAATCGAGTCATTAAGACATGGTATGAACAAAATACAGAGAGATGACAATCTAGCCTACCACCGCTCTCAATTGTGAAGGGTTCATGACAACGCCGGCTCT